TATATATATATATATAAGTATAAAAAGGAGTTCTATAAGGTTTACTATAAGAATTACTGTCACGATTCAGATGCGGGAGAGTCCGAACATGTGGGCTCAGGGTCTGGCATATCCATGTTGTAAAAAGAAATATGTGCCGGTGGCCCTAGGCTACCCGACGGGAGGTTGAGCCAGGAATACAGCGGCTGTAGTGCGAGTCCCAGAGCTTAGGGCCACAAGATAGTGTAGGGGCCTAAATAATTATAGTATGGTGGGCCCCAAATCCCTATTTTAATCATTAAGGCCCCTATATCAGAGTGGATGGGTGATTTCCTGGAATTGCGGAGCAACTACAGGCTTGAAGGTTCAGCGAACTGTCGGAAATTAGTTTTGCCCACCCCCTCCGGGTGAACCTCGTTAAAAACTTCAGGTTAGCTTCCACCTCGTATCTTTCTTCCCACTGCTCTAGCCTTTTGTGGAGATGATTGCAAAAGGAGACATGTATTCTGAGCCCTGGGCCGATTTGGCTTTTGCATGATACAATGGCACAGCAACGCTTCCTGTCTGCCGGTAGAGGACATGCAGAGGACCAGAGGACATGTAGGACAACAGCTTCCCCATACTCAGTGCCGAGGGGCAGACACCTCATGCGGGCCCATGTCCCTCACTTTGGACTGCAGGGTGTCCGCCAGGTCGGCAATGAAATCAGTTTCGGCTGCAGAGGCCTTGGCAAAGGACTCGGCCAAGGTACAAAGGTCTCGCGGTCCGAAGTCCAGCAAAAACGATCGTGCGGCAGGCATCAGGTAGTCTTTAAAGGTGTCGTTATCGGAGCCACCTTCACACAGCGCGGCTGCAAGCTGAACCACGGCCCGAGGGGTGCAGAGGTGCACTTGGTGGTGCACAGCCCTGTCGGCCATCTCCAGGAGCTTTGGAGGGGTGCTTCGCAGCGCTGCAAGCCCCGCAGCCGCAGAGGCGATCTCGTTCACTGGCAAGCCCTCACCTTCCACGATGCACTGTGCCACACCTTTAGCCAGCTGCATTCCACCAGAAGTTCGCAGCTTGACAAGTGCAGGCACCAAGGTTGCAGCAGACTTCGGGGGCAGCTCTTGACAGCGAAGCTCCAGGGTGGAGACCAGCTTCTGTTGCAAAGCCAAGCCCACCTTGGACGCTGAAAGCTCCGCAGAAACAGCAAGGCTCGCCAACACGAGGCTTGACTGTGCAGGGCTCAGGTCGTCGAGACGGTCTTTGGCCACTCGCACCAAGGTGTCGGCTGCCATGGCTGCTGAGCTCGCAAGGGCATTTCCAGAGCCCAAAGCCCCGAGGCGGGCCAGGCCACTAATGGCCGCAGGGAGGACCCAAACCTCAGTGCCTGGCACGTGGTCGCCAAGAGTCGTCAGCATGGGTGGCAACCGCTTGTCCCGAAGTATTGGCAGTCGCTTGGAGCCTGTGGCCTGTTTGGCCAGAAGCTGCAGCGACATTGCCAGCTGCCTGGGCGGCGGATTGATTCGAGGTTGGTCCTAATTATTTGGGCCAGTCATGCCCTGTCAAGAAACCCACATAGCAACACGCAACCTTGATATGCACGTATTTCTCTCATGCTAAGCTTTCTGCACAACACGAGTCGACTGAGCAAAATAGCACTCACACACACACATGGCCAAACGTGCTCCAGAGGCAGCTTAGGTAATCATCCGCCCGACGACTTTTCCAGTCAGTGCTGGGTGACAGAGCCGCAGCAAGGTGCCACAAGTGACGATTATAGCCCCTTTGAGACCTGCGTATGTCTGTAAGTGTTCATCACACGCTTTTTCTAGAGGCCTTAGTCGTTAATAATTAATTACTATAGTAACAGTTATCTATTTTATACTATTCTCAATGAACCCCCAAGAATAGTATTGGTAGTTATTCAGGCCCCCATAGAAGAGAGAAAATCTGAAGCCGAAGGCGCCCCAATCGCCGCGCCCGCTGTGCAGCATCGGTTTCAACTCTCACTGCCTACGTAAAGGAGTCAGGAATTGCGGTTTCAGATTTGGGGTTTAGTTGTTAGACTAGAGGTTAGGGTTGAGGGATCGGCTTGGGGATTCGGGTCTAGGGATCAAGGATTCGGGAGTATAGGGTTTAGGGTTCAGAGAGGAAGGGGAAAGGACGCCAGAGCATGTCTACATTCGTGGGAGTTCCCATCACCTAGTAGTGCAAATCATTTGCAGCCCAAAGAGATCAAAAGAAACATGGTGCAGTATAGAAAAGTACGATATAAAAACCGTCTAGTATATAATTATAATGTATCATCTAATAGTGGACGCGCATGTGGGGACCTGCTTAGCAGATGCCTGTTCGGGAGACCTATTCGCAAATGCACTGTTGCCAGCTCCCTTTGTTCCACGAACACTCGTTCTAGTGTGGACGTATTAATATACTGACCATAATAGATCGGACTCCAAACAAACAAAGATCCTGAATAGTAGGATACCTGAAGCTATGACCCCGAAATACAAGGCCCCTAATTCGTCTGTTGATATCTACTTCGAGGCCCATGTAGTTCAAGACAATGCTGTTTCTCCTCGTACTTCGTCATGAAGGAACGAAATTACCCCAATGCCTCCGGCAGAAGCAATGATGAAGGCAACAAGGCCTGTAAACTCTATATGGAATATATACCCCAAAGCCCCATCAGCTCTCAAGCCTCCACAGCCCGTGCACCGAGGGCCAAGACCTTCTGCAAAGGATAACTTCCTAGTTCTCCACAAATCTGAGAGTATTTGTTGCATTCGGGTTTAGAACAGTGGGGCTAGCGAGGAGTTGCAGAAATGTGATACCTGTTTCCGGGGACTTCATGAATCAAGCCAGTAGCCCGTTCTGCAAGAGATTTGGAATGACTATGCCTACTTGCAGGGTATTGGCCTGATAGGCCTCAAAACGTACAGTTCAGTAAGTTAGGACAAATTTCGACATCAAATGTTTTTTGGTTCAGGCCGGGCATGGATGTTGTTTGGTTTATCACGTAGCTGCACACGCCAAGGCCCCGAAGCCCTGAAACCCAAGCGCCCAAGACACTCAAAGCTCTTATCCCGCAAACGCTTGGGCTTAGCGATACCTGCATTCAACTCGCAGGGAGATGAGCCCAACATTGTCGCATGCAATGTAGCAAGCCGACAACGCCCTGAAGCACGGCCACATTCCGGTTCGGAAAGGAAACTATTCAGTCATTTACAACACGCTCATTCAGGCTCTCGCAGAAGAAATAACATGTGTTGAGTTCAATCGCTCTAGACACAATTCTCCCAGTCCCCTTCCCAAACATTCAACTGCTGGCGCCTCCCCTGCACTTCGCGCCGAGTGGAGACGCTCGGCCACTGCAACAGCATGCTCTGGAAGGCCTGGCACCTGCGACAAGGGCGCGGACGAATATGATGGTTAAGACTTAAAGCTATAGGACGATGAATCATCAACCGAGATAATGGAATGATGTGAGGGTGAACAAGAAGAAGATGATGATAACACTGGCTAGAATGCTAGAGGTTGTGGAGGAGGAGGAGGACGAGGAGGAGGAGGAGGAGCAGGATGATGAGGCACTCGAAGAGATTGCGCGGAAACGGAAGTTGGCAAGATATCCTGGATGACGCTGCTTCTGGTGATGGTGATGGTACCACAACCACAACCAACAGCAACACCAACCTCAATCAACAACAACGCCAGCCAACAACAAACAACAACAAACGACGTCTGGGAGGTTTCTCTACATGGATGGTGTCTGACATGTGAACACTGTGGGCGAGTTGGGGATCCAAAGCCCTTGATGAAGCTCTGCCAGGGCACTTCCAAGCCCTCCAGGAGCCGCGTCTGGGGAGGATCAAGCTCTCGGATCCTTAGCTCGGATTGCTTTCTTGGCTTCTTCAAGGTATAGAGTTTAGGGTGCTTAGCGGCTTTCTCTTTGCAAAGAGGCGGATAAGTTATGACAAGGATCCGTCGGAAAAAAAAACAGAAAAGAGCGTCCTACTATACCTGACAGTCACTTACGGCAAGTAATTTTGGCATTGAGGGTCGTTCTCACAAGGGTCCTACAGTTGCTGAGGTTTCTGGGGGCTCGTCGGTTACTTCCGCAAGATTCAAGCCCAAACCCCAAACCTGAAATCCCAAATCCCTAGCCCAGGAGCCCTCGGTTTTGATGGAGGTTGGGAGGTTCTTGCACTTGTGGAGTATCTGTGGTCCCTGTTTTCCAGCAGTCTCATAGCTAGATGTGGAATCCTTCGGGAAATTCTAGCAGAACCGACACGCCTTCCTGGTGCTGGGATAGCTCGTCACCCACATCATCCTTTAAAGTTCCAGGGGAGCGGTCTCAAGACTAGCTGACTAGCAAACTCCGATGGAGCTGCTCAAACCTGCAGCAGACTTGGGTGACTGACTACTCGCATGCTAATGGTTGGCTGCCAAGTAACAGCCTTAACCCTAAACTCCAAACCTATCCAAATCTTGTAGCACCCCATGCGCAACAACGTACAGGGAGCGCTGAACAACTACTTCGAAGTCCATGCCAAGCCCAACAAGGCATGATGTCATATGTGTCCTGTAAGTCAAGGGCCTTCAACAGCGAGTTTACATATCTTTGACAAACTTATCGTAAAGCATTCATGGCACGCATGTGACTGGTGTCCAATGTGGTGTTTTGATGACACACACACATATGTATGTATTATATTATATTATATTATACATATATATATATATATATATTGTCCGTAATACTGTCAGATGCGCGTGTACTTGTTTTATCCTGCTAATCACAAGATTTTTTTTCAGGTTTGGCGTGTCCATCAACGTCATCCTGTTCTGTATGTCTTTTCCAAGCCTGCAACCTGGTTGCCATGTAGAGCTGCTTCTAGTATGCCATCTTACTGTTGCTGCATGTGTCGCAGTCAGATTGCTCCATAGCGCGGTCCTGCCGCTCGTGCTTATCTTTGAGCTCGGATGTTAAGTGTGGTTGCATGTGGACACGCGGAGCGAATGCAAGTATGGGCTTGCACCAAAATAATTTGGGATCTTCGGGCCGAGAAGACTGAACAGTCCACACATAAAGCCTTCCCGTCTGTCCAGGAGCGAAATATTCCACAGTTGATAGCAACACCACTTTGACCTAAAGCCCAAAGCCTTCAACCAACGGGCCTCGCTGGCGCTTACATAGGTCTGCTTTATTGCTGTCCTAGACAATCGACACGTCTAACTTGGAGTTTGAAACTCGCACATCCCCCAGAAAATACGACCCAAGAAGGCCAAGTATCTGCGGTTCCTCAGAAGCTTCTTTGACAGCCGCGCCATCCTCAGGCATGAATCCCGCGGCATCACCAAAATCCTTGAGACGGGCTTAGGAACTTTAGATTGAGGGCTTTCGTATGTGGGAACTTAAGGCGTCGAGCCTGCGCATTTTTCGGAACTTAAGGTGTCGAGCTTTAAAGTGTTCGCATTTAGGAGTTTAGAGTGTAGAGCCTTGGTATTCAAGAACCTCTGTAATTAACTGAGCTGTCGTACTGAGGAGTTCAAGCTTTCGGATTGATGGTTCGTGACCTGAACTTTTTGGGGGTTCGGATCAGGAACTTGAGGTTTTGGAGATGGGGATTTTGGAACTCAAAGAAGGTGTCACTGTAGTCACAGTGCAGTGTGTCGCAGTTTCGGATTCGGGAAGGGACCTGGGTTTTGGGGGGTGTCGGTTCAGGGCATTAGGTTGGTCCCCTACGGATTTTGTAGAGCTTGGCTGATTCTGACAGCGCTCCACCCATTGTCCTGCGTGTGGCTCATCATGCTCGAACTTCTGTTCAGTTGCAGTAGGCACCTTGAAGAAATGCCTGCTGTCTTCATTTCTTTATCAGTTGGATCGACTTAATTCAACCGGGCAACTACGAGACTTGGCTGCCTAATTAAACCGGTCAACTACGAGACTTGGCTGCCTAATTAAACCGGGCAACTACGAGACTTGGCTGCCTAGTATTTGCTGTAAGCGTTGTATAAGGCTCTAAAGTCTGTAGAATCTATAGGTTTTCGTTTTATCAGGGTCTCAGAAGGCTTTTTCAAGAAATGGTGACCATTGTAAGGTGGTCCTGCGAATCGAGGCATGCGACAACGGCGCGACTGCCCTGCCTTGGGGTCCCTTTTAAGGCGCCAGCCTCCACATAACTTAAGAAGGACAAGTACAGTTCATAATTTAGAGCCACCTTCCCGACAGCCTCCACAGTCTACAGCTGCAGGAATCCTAAACCCAAAACCCTAAACTCTACTCCTCCCCACCCAAACCCTCGTCGCAGCCGGGCTTCGGCGTGGCCGCTTGACAGGGCCTCAGCTCAGTCGTTTCAGCAATCGTTTATAGGGTTTGGGCTGAGGGTTTAGTAGTTCGATGAAGGTACGTATGACTGGTGCGTCAATAAAACCTAAACCCTAAACCTTAAACCCCTAAACCCTAAACCCTAAACGGAAACCCAGTAGCTGAGTACGTGACTAGGCATTCAGGTTTTTTAGGCGTTTTCAAACCATGGCTAGGGTCCCTCGTACGATACGACTCTTTACAACAACTGCTAACGGTAGGTACCTGAACAAGTATCCAACCGGACCCAGTAGTCTTTTTAAGTGAGGGGCCTTATTTCTGATTCAGAAACACGGATTTCAGTCCAGGATGCTCATCCCCCTCAAAGTGATGACACACACAGCCATCAGCACACCAACACAAGCAACACAGTCCCAAAGCAAATCCGGTCCCTAGCGACCGGAGCACGCTCGTCTCTTCCACCGGAAGTCTGTTGCGAACCCTAAACCCTAAACCCTTCAGGGTTTCAGTTTCAGGCTTCGGATCTCTTTGAAATGGTATCACCGTAACAAGAAACGTTCTGATGATCAGAGTATTTAAGGAGAATCACAACTACGAAACTCCAAAGAGTCACGAGCTGAATGTGATCGAGTACCCAACATCCTAAGTGAATCAGTTGTACAACTGCAGTGTAAGAATGCATCTGTAATTTGTCGCCGACATCTGCCAGCATAACAGTAGTAGCGAGACCAATCGGCAACACATGGAGCGGAACATAATGCTAATCCTCCTGACCATGTTGACGACCATACATAAATAAACCCCAGCTCGACACTACGACTAAGGCTGATAAGAATGACAGAAATAATCAAACGAGCAAACACAGAAAATGCGGGAACACCTTGCAAAGAGATGAGAAACCCACTAAACCTCCAAACCCTATGTACCCGGACCCCTACACGACAAATCCCTGAAGAACCAAATCACAAGACGGCAGCTACCTCCTTCTCCTCAGCCCGCTCGCGCTGCTCGCGGCGGCTAGGAAGCAGATGTCTCGGTAAGTCGGGGCGACGATCCGAGATAGGCCGAGAGATTGTAGGCTGAAATGCTTTGGGCTTTAGGCTTTCGAAGTTTTACAGGGTCGGGTTGTGAGAAGAGGATATAGGGGTATTTCTATCTGGCTTAGACATTCAAGGGCAAAGCGGATATTTCATGTGTTGGGAGGGAGAGTGTTGGAGGCTGTGGAAAGTTGAAGGCGCATCTGGGCATGTTTGGCTTCACCATCGAGGGTTTCACGATTAAGCACTTCAGCTTCAAAACAAGACAACAAAAAACAATGAGTCCGACAACACTTGAAGAGTCTAGTCTCCGGTTCCGCGCACTTCGCGCGGCCTTCTGTCTCTGCTGCTCTGCTTCTCGCACCTGCATTTTGCAGAAGCTCACTGACGAGGCTCACGTCACAGCCCTGCAAGTGTAATTCTATTCATGACAGACAGACAACCTACGAGTTGGTGAGCTACGGGGTCCGTATCCCCGATTCTGTGGATGAGTCTTGGCCTTGTCTCCTGTAGGTATGTTTTGATTGCGAGGTCTGGTGCGCATTCCTGTTCAAGCTTCGGAACTCACGCCTCAAGATTCGTGACAAGAGAAATCGTCGCGACGAAGATTCTGACACATTTTCTGCTCTTCAGCACTAGACTACTGATAGCTAAAACTTGGGCTGACGACGATGGTCATGACGACGACGATGATCATGATGGTTGACTGAATGGCTGAGTGATTGAATGATGGATTGAATGAATGAAAGAATGAACAACTGAATGAATGAATGAATGAATGAATGAATGAATGAATGAATGAATGAATGAATGAGCTAATGACTGAGCTAATGAATGAATAATGAATGAATGAATGCATAAATGAATGAGTGGCTGAATGAATGAACTAATGAATGAATGGATGGATGTATGGATAAGGGATGCATGCATGAATGCATGAATGCATGAATGAATGCATGAATGAATGCATGAATGAATGAAAAAATGTGAATGAATGAATGCGAACGAATGAATGCATGAATGAATGAACGAATGGATGCATGGATGGATGGAGGGATGCATGCATGAATGCATGAATAAATGAATGAATGAGTGCATGAATGAATGAAAGAATGAATTAATGATTGCCTGAATGACTGAATGAATGAATGGATGCATGAATGCATGAATGAATGAATGAATGAATGGATGCTTGATTGTTTGAATGAATGAATGAATGAATGAATGAATGAATGAATGAATGAATGAATGAATGGAATGAATGAATGAATGGAATGCAACGGCATGAAATGGAACGGACTGCAATGAAATGAAATAACACATGAGTGAACGAGTGAGCGTGTGAGTGAGTGAGTGAGTGAGTGAGTGAGTGAGTGAGTGAGTGAGGAGTGAGTGAGTGAGTGAGTGAGTGAGTGAGTGAGTGAGTGAGTGAGTGACTGAATAAATGAGTATAAATCAGTGAGTGATCGAGTGAGTGAGTGAGTGAGTGAGTGAGTGAGTGAGTAAGTGAGTCGATGAATGAACGACTGAATGCAGGAAGGAATGAAGGAAGGAATGAACGGATGAATGAAGGAAGGAAGGAAGGAAGGACGGAAGGAATGAAGGAGAAGGAATGCATGAATGATTTAATGATTGACTGACTGACTGACTGACTGACTGACTGACTGACTGACTGATTAATTGTGATGTTTTTAAGAAACATATGAGCAAACATAGATAATGGATATTGGTGCTGTTGCTGTTCATGACGATGATGATGGTAATGACAGTCATCATGATGATGCTGATGGTGGTGATGACCAGGGACATCCTCTTTTCTGTGTACTGCTTCACACCCCGACATCAGGCAGTAAATGTCCTGCCGTTTAGGCGCATCAAGCTTGAAGTTCCACGCCCGGCAGCCCAAACCCCAAATCCCGAAACTCCCTCTCCGCCCCACCCCCCCTCCCGCCATTAACCTCACCTCTTCCCAGAAGGCGCGTGGCGGCTCCTCTGCACCACGCCGAGGTGCTCCGCTGGCAAAGCGGCGAAAGGCTCGGGCCCACATGGCGCCATGGTGCAGGGCTTGTAGCGTACTACGTCTTCCAGATATTCTCGAGAGTCCAGGATGCCTGTGAGGTATGCGGAAGGTATGTCTGGCATGTAGGACTCTGAGCTTGTGGTCGGATTGTTTGGGGGGTGCGGCGGGATGTCGGCATAGATTAAAACACCGCTTGTGCGATTGTGGTGTAGGGAGTTTGCGGCTGATGTGCAAGCGCTCGGGCTCACTATGTTGAGTTGGGATCGGGTTCTCGGTTGCAGGGCAAGTCACTATAGCACGTAGGACTTGACAAGACAGGACACGCAACCGATCTCCTTGATCGGATGTTGGAGAGCTCGAGATTGGAACTGCTTCGGCACGTCGTTTCAGGTCATGCTGCTCTCAAGCCCTGTTTGGCTTTTCAGGTACCCAGCGAGCAGACTCTTGACCAGTCGATGAGCTCCACATGCGAGCGCCCGAGACATGACAGAGCGACGCCATCACAGTTCAGAGGACATATATGCACACCGTTTCCAGTGGCAGACACTCGACGAACAGAGACAGAATTGAAGACATAGGGTCTTGAAACTCGGAGACCTTACAGACACGCCGTAGTTCGAACACCGGAAACCCGAGGTCCAAAGCATTGGCCGCCGCTCATCTGATTCTTTTCTCTTGTAACTGACACGAAAAGTAAGCCCTGAACTCTACTTATGATCAGGAAACACCACAACTGCATAGGTAATTATATAGGCTGCTATACTGCCCATTAACCGTCGTGGCCTGCAGTGGCACTGGCGGGCCCGGAGTCAACACCTCAACTGCTGGTATTGGGTTCATCTTGGTCTTTGCAAAGTTGGGTTTAGGCCGAAGACACGGCAGCAAACACATGGAACGACTCGAAGAACCGCGTCTTGAGATCTAAGAATCTAGGCTCTCGGTCCAAAGCCGGGGAAGAAGACGCTGAAACCTCAAATCACAACACCTTCCCACCTCGTGGCCACGACATCTTTGTCCCAGCCCCAGTCGTGGGGCGGGAATCTTGGTGGTGCACTTGCGCTTCAAGGCTTCGGCAGGGTTTTGAGGTCGAGGGTGAGACACCTCTCAGTGTACACAAGGGCAACTACGAACCTTGTCAGGGTGCTTTCAGCTTTGACAAGGCTAGTCGCGGTGTCCGTTGGTCAGCGAAGTTGCACATCACCAGGCACAAGATGGTTCTCTGAACGCTTTAAAGATAAGTAGTGGCAGTAGCGGTGATTGCTGGGTTCGTCGTTGCACATACGAAGTATCGTAAGCTGGCGCTTGGACAGAAGTCTGCCACGACTACACAGCTCCTCCGAACAACTGCGTCTTTGAACCCTTCCCAAGCTCGTGCTCTGGCACAAATCTTGAAGGCTCCTCCCAATCCCCACAAACGTGTTGTTGCCAGGTGTATATCTCGGACACTCTAGGCCCTGCACTCCAAAAACTCCAGAGCAACATATGCACAGCTCGCGAAGGCAACGGATCCCTTCTGGCCAAGCTGGGGGCGTCGTCATCGTCATCATCGTCCAGAAGCCCGGGAGGCAGCTGGGGCCTCCAGCGTCATCAGCTCGTCGATGAACCGAGTTTGGTTCAAAGTTTGGTTCAAAGTAGTTTTCCGGTTTGGGCGGTTGGATCAGCTTTGCCTAGTTGGGCTCTTTAACCTTCGTCTGAATGCGACCTTTTCAGGCGGTGGTCCACACAGCTAGCTGATGACCCGAACAATCCTTCGTGGGGGTCAGAGGCCTGGATTTACTGAGGGTTTGGGGTTTGGGGTGAAGCCACAACATTGCTAAGGGATGCTCGAAAGAGAGAAGGACAGAGAGAGAGAGGGTGGATATGTGCGTGTGCGTCATGCAGCATGAAAATGAACGGCTCGTACTTTGGGCCATGGACCACGGACCTCATACAAACTCGATCACGCAAAGCAGACGTTGTTTGCAGTCTCGGAAGCATGGAGAGACCTCAGAGATGCCATGGTTCCATCCACCGGTCGCTTCCAACACTCCAAGACCTACCGCGTGCACCTTTGAACCTATGATGCCTCAAGGCCACACGCGATTTAATGCAACTCCCGAACAGCAGGGTGGACGAATTCTTGAAAGCTCCTTGCAAGCATCAGTACAGACAAATAGTTCAGGCTGAAGGCCGAGAAAACTACGAACTACACACTTCTCGAAAGATCGCAACGATACACACCTTCCCGACTCACCGGTAAATCACTCCCGAAAACATGATGCCCCTAAATCCCGAAACTCCGAAACAACTAACGCACAGAACCCCAAAGTCCAAAACACAAACAAAGAACAGCGAAGTACAAAACCTCTCAAGCGATCACAGCCTGGCTTCTACTTTATCTTCCAGGTCTCCTCCGAGGGAGATGGATGGGGGGGATCGGGCCGAGTGTAAGGGCCCAAGAATGTCTTTCGACATCCCAAACTGTATCTATGCATATGCTTCTGTCTATGTACCTACGCAGGCACGTATGCACGTAATAGAGTATGTATGTCGGTATTGGTATGTCGGTATGTAGGCATGTAGACATGTAGGGAGGGAAGTTTGTAGGTGGGTATGTAGGTAGGTATGTGGGTAGGTCTGTCGATGTATGTAGGTATGTGCGTAGTATGTAAATGTATGTATGTATGCATGCATGCATCATGTATGTCTAGTAGGTACTTAGATCGAAGAAATGACAGGTAGATAGATAAATGACTGGATGGACGGACGGACGGACGGATGGATGGATGGATAGAAGATATGAAGATAGCTGGCTATATGCACGTAGAAAGTCGGTTGGATCGTTTGACAGACAGATGGATAGATAGATCGATGGATAGGTAGGTAGTTGGATACATAAAGAGATGGGATAAACAGATATGCAGATAGACGGGGAGATATGTAGGCAGATAGACAGACAGACGGACAGACTGTCTGTCTCTCTGCCTGTCTGTCTGCCGCCTGCCTGGCTGTCTGTTTGTCTGTCTGCATTCTATCTGTCCATCTATCTCCCAAAGGGTCCAAGTACTAGTATAGTACATACTTTGGGTGCCCAAATACCTACAAAGTACTTACTATAATAGTACTTGGACCCTTTGGGTCTGCCTATCTCTTTATCTACCCATTGGCCTGCACTGCATACGTAACTCCCCATCTAGTCTATCTAGCTATCTGTTTATCTATCTGTGTGTCTATTTGCCAGCGCATTCATCCATCTGTCTATCTATCTATCTATCTATCTATCTATCTACCTATCTACCTATCTACCTATCTACCTATCGATCTATCTACCGATCTATCTATCTGTCTAGCTATCAATCAAGCTATCTATCTACCTATCTATCTATCTATCTATCTATCTATCTATGTATCTATGTATCTATGTATCTATGTATCTATGTATCTATGTATCTATGTACCTATCTACCTATCTACCTATCTATGCTATTTATCTACCTGCGTATCTCCGTAGCTATCTGTCCACCTATGTACCTGTGGACAGATCTACCTAGTCAGCTGAGAATGAAGGGTGCATCAGCATACATTGGAAAGTATACCCAAGCTACCCTAAACCCTGAACCCCACAGCAAGCTTGGCATGGTTCTGAGGAGCAGCAGGAAGATGCGATACAGATGCTGCTGTAACGTCCTGATCAATGGAAGAACTACTCATACCGGACCGCAACGCTCTGCTGAAGCATGACTGATGCTACTTCCTGAAAAGACCTATCGAGCCACTAACGAATGGTATGTGCTACAACTTAATCTGCCACAGACATGGACAAAGTGCTTTAACACAGGGAGTGACGGTCCATCACCAGTAATTACCTGTACCATTTATTTGCATCTGGGCAAGGGGCGGTTCCCCCGCTGTGTCTTTAGCCATAGCCAGGCCGATTCCGCAATAAAATCAAGAACTGCCCACCAACCTCCAGTGGCGGTGGTCGAAGCAGAGAGCCTCTGACTCAATCGTTCGGCCGGACCCAGGCAAAGGAAGCAACGAAGGGAGCTAGGGTTCCTGTGTGGGTAAGATCTAGACATCTATATGTCTATATATATATATACATACACAAGCATAGACATATACATGTACACGTACAACTCTGTAGTGTGTCTGTACATGTATATACATATATGTATGTATGTATGCGTGTGTGCTTGCATATCTGATTAAAACATGAATGAATGAAGGAATGAAGGACATAAAGAACGAACGAATTAATGAATTAGCGACTGAATGAAGGAATGAAGCAATGGCGGAGTAAAGGCATGAAGGAAAGAACTAACGAATGAACGAACGAATGAATAGTTGCATAAATACACAATTAGAAACAAAGAAGCAAATAAATAAATAATTTGTATATATATATATATATGCACATGCATACGCACACATTTTAAATAGATAGGCATACCTTCATTATTCAGAACTGGTAGTGCGTGCAAGTCCATCTTGGTGATTCAAGGGCCTATTCTCGCACCTTTTCTGGAAGGTCTGATAGTACAAAAACCAGAACTAACTGCCAGATGTGACACGCAGGGGGTGCAACACACATCCCTTGGCCCTGGGTTCTGGGGTCGTCCTGAGATGAGTAACGGCCCTGAACCTAAACCGCCAACGGCTATTGAAAAAGGCGGTGGTTCGATCTTCTCATCAGAACTTTAGAAGCTTAGAGCATTCATGCCTTTGGGGCCGTTGGGTTTTGAGGATAACTTTGGTCACTGAAATTGGCACCGTAGAACAAATTCAAAGTTAGCAGCGGCAGCGAAGACCATGCTGTCATGCCAACATCATCACCATCGATCATGATCATTATCATCGAAATCATCATGATGATACTCAAAATCACCACCATCGATGTCATCCACAGCAATGAACATGTGGTCTGCACTGAGATTGAACACTAACGACATCTGCAAGCGTAGCATTGAAGCGGCAGCAACCTCGCTCATGATCATGACAACTTCTGCCACGCCAAGGTCGGCACTTGCTTTCGTGGTTGAAGGTATTGGGCTCAAACATCTTTGGCTTGGCCTTCCGTGAGGACATGCTTGAGGAGAAGACTTGAGTTTCGGGGCCTATGCTTGCAGGTGTTGCTCCTCAACGATGGCTAGCCACTCAACTCAGACCACCGCCGCTTGAACTGCGAAGTAGATTGGGAACAGCAGGAGGAAAGAACAGGAGTGTGTGACTCCGGCCCTACGTGACCCAGGACTCTTTCGATGCATCGTGAGAGTCTGCCTGGCCTCCAGCGAAGGTGCACCGGAGGGCATCGGCAGGGTAGGGCCAGCCTGAAGGGTCAGAAGGATGGGCTATGTCAGGCTATGTAACTGCGGCCCATGGCCGCCCCCCATGGCCGCCCCCCATGGCCCCCCACCTTCATCTAAGCAATGAGGGCTGAGGGCTCCAAGATAGAGATGCTCGTGATGCAATGTAGAAGCATCACTTCAAGACCCAGGCGATGAAGCCCTAGCTAGTATAGGGGCCTTAACAATTAGAATAGCGCGTTGCGGCCCAAAATAGTATATTTATATTGAGGAACCCTGACAATGATATTGGTAATTATTGTGGCTTCTATATTGATCAGGCCCAGGACTAAGAAACCCCAATGATCAGACGATTCGTTCTGTTGCACCTACAAGCCAATGCCTTCAGGAGCAGGGTCTCTTCGCTTCAACCGATAGAGGTGGTTTTGCCCAGAGACTCCAATACCCCTTAATTCAGGAATATACGTTAAATCATATTAGGGATCCTACTATAATTTAAGGTGTATTCCTTAGTTAAGGGGTATTGGAGTCTCTGGGTACAGTGGCTTGCTGTCGTCTCAAGAGCGCTTTCTAGCTCTGCAGGTTTCACATCATGGTAAACTAACAATACATAACTGCATGTGAACGGATATGAAAGAGTGCATTACGGTATATCACAACATAGTAGGTTTGTACAGTAGGTTATAGTATAGATTCTGGTAAATCGTGATATATATGTAAGTATAACACAGGCGCACCCGCCTGCCAGTGATATGGCGGGTAGGCCTGCATAGCCTTGCGGGATCACTGGAGGGATTCGGGCCCCAAGCCCGTCTATAGTATTATAGAGTTCTAAATACTTCGAAAAGCGTTTTTGGGATGTGTCGGGGTCTACTTATATTGAGGAACCGTAAGGTTGAATATTGGCAACCTTGAACCCTAAACCCTATAATCCCTAACTTTTGGGGATGTGTGATAGTATACTTAGTATACTTATCATATCGAGGAAGCCTGAAAGAATACTCGTAACTATGCAGGCCCCTACAGTAGGGCACTGGAGCTTTAGCGTCGCGGTATAGAGCTTTGGACATGAGGAGCTGCTCTGAGCAGGAGCCTCGAAGATCCCCTCACAAGATGTGTTGCGCTCCGACAGTCCCTCTTCCGACCCATAAGCGCATGTGTAGGTTTCATTGCTTGTAAGCTCGTTTTATGCAAAGAGTATCCTGCACCCAAAACCTTCCCGAAGCCTAGACCCGAGCACCTAAGGCCCTCAAGGTGTGCAAGGCGGATTCGCTGCTTGCGCTTGTGAACCTACTCCCTACGCCTCCGTGGCTCCCGAATGATGGTGTTCATGCATTGAGGGTTTGAGAGACTCATTCTGCACCACTGTGCGAGGACCTCCCAAAGGAATACTAAACCAGGACCGCAAAGCCACACCTAAAACTCAAACTCCACCGTTGGCCCTGCCTGTTCAGGGTAGTGTTTCCACGCCTGGTAGTCGACCTGCTCGTGCATTCCTCGGGAGCAATGCGTGCATCAGAGATGACAGACTGCAAGAAACAACCTGCGAATGTCTGACGTGTTGCCTCATGTTGCCTTCACCCAGCATCGTAAAAATGCTGCTTGACCGTTGTCGTGGTGTTCGTAGTGGCAGCAGCTGCAGTGGTAAGAATCGTCGTCAACTCATACTGCAGATCGCAGGCATCATGAAACTTCTTGGGCTGCCTGCTCCTATTGCCATGTTCCTCAGACAAGTGACACAAGCCCTGCACTCTCTGGGACCTGATCTCGGAACACATGGAAGTCTGCAAAAGTGCATCAAAGTGCTAGATGCTGAGGGCTCTGGCCTGAGTTCCACGAGGTCTCTGCCCTGCACAAGATCCGCTTCGACGGGGGGAAGGTAAGACTTAGGTTGAATCGAAGACTTTCCGACGGCCGGACGGAGGGCTGGATCAAAGAGTGAGCAAGATGTAACATAAGGGCCATTATCGGGGGAATGGGGTTTTGGAGTATATTTTACTAATTATGACTATAACAAGGAACCGCAAATGCACATGCATTGCTAACATTTAGGGCCCTACATTATAAGTACCAGAGAAGAGTCTAGGTCGCGCCTCGCGTCGTAAGTCGCCCAGCCATAGCCGGGATCCCACATCCTAGCTCGGCGGTGCAGAGGGTCTAGGGTTAGGGTTTAGGGTTGTGGGGGGAGCGTCGAGGCTCAGGGTTTCCGGGTCGGAGTTTATGGTTTAGGGCTTAGGGGCTTTAAGGGCTCTACGTCCAGTCTCGGAACAGGGATTCGGATGCAGACATGCAGGCCAAGAAGTGCAGTGAGGTCGGAACGGAAGCCCTCACCCCGGGATCTCAGTGTGCCTCGGGTACACTGCATCTGCAGGTTGTAACTGTCGAAACACCTTTGTCAGACATCCTTGACCTGAATCTCAAAACACACAAACTTTGTGGGTTTGAGCTCCGACTTCCTCCAATCGAAGTCTCCGAAACCTTTGCGAGAATCTCCACGACGGTCGTCCCCTACAGCTAAAAAAAAACTTCTACCGTGACCTCAAACCCGGAAAACACACCCGGTGCTCACAACACCACAGAAGCTGTGTGTGCGGCCAATCTCCAGAGTTGGACCAATCCTCTCCCGGTGCCAGCATCGCGAAAGATGCCTCAAAACAGACTGCAGTCGACTGCAGGCTTCGTGCAGAAGGCTGAAGGCTATGCAGCGTTTCCTGGCCGGAACCCTTCTCTTGCAAGCTAAGTCAGCAAGTCAGGTTATGCATACAGTGGGTTGGGGGCCTGCGTGAGGGCTCCTGGCCCCGCAGGACTAAGTGGACGAGGTTAAAACAACTACTCTTCCTCACAACGGCACAAAACCTTCCAAGTTGAACAACTGTTGACGTGGACTATTGGGCTTGCCTCTGCGGCAGAGGGACTTGGAACAGTGAGCACGCATGCAAACAACTTGTAAGACCTGTTGCGTATCGTGTCAGAGTCATACGCATCTTGAAAGAGTGCCCCCGCCTGGCCGATAGGTCGGATAGCAAAGCGAAGGATTTCTCGCTTCGGCACTTCTGTGCAGACCAGAGGACAGTGTCACTGGCTACGAAGTGAACGGATAAGACTGAAGTTACTGAAGGGACTGAGATGAATGCTTACGAAGTTCCCTAAAGGCTGCACTGCCCAACTGATAACCACATGTAAGGCTGATCGCAGGGGTCTGTGCGTGTATGTTAGTGGAAGTGATATGTTTTGTCGTGGAGCTGTGGTGCGTGTGGCATGGGAGCAGGTGCGACATGCTCAAGACGGCAGCACCTGTCGGATGCACATTCGCGGCCATGACGTATGCACATTGCATATTGATCTGGCACACCGAGCAGTTCAAGTTGTTCGACATAGATGAAACTAGAGCCAGGCCCCGCTGAATTCAAGCCATTTCATCAAGACCCTAGACTGATACAAAAGGTGTAATATGTATAGCGCAATGCACATGCAGGCTGTACGGCTCCGACCATTTCTCTTGTCTTCGGCATGGTGTCCAAAGAACTTAAGTCCACTCTGTCTGACTTAGTTCCTTGTCTTGTCGTGTTTGTCCACAGCGAGGCAAGCAGAGCAAGCCCAATGAGTTGTTGTACATCTTACGGCAGCCCGCACCGTTGAGTCACTCATAGGTTTAGCCAAAGCATTCCGGCAAAGACCGCAGCGATCGCAGAGCCCGGGAGAATAATAACAGTTTGTTGTTGGAGGCTGTTGTCATTGGGGCATTGCGTTGGCAAGCCACCATCTGGAAGATGCTGACCTCCGTAGAATTCTGTGATTCAGAAATTTCGTGGTGCAGTTGCGTGCTCTACTAGTGTGGTACTAGTGTGGAATTCAAAAGCTAGAGTTTTCGACCCACACAACTCCGCACATGAACGAACCCCCGCAATCGGACGCTTGAGCTCAACCAGTATATCGCTTTCGACGGCATTCAATCAATATGCTGTCGGATCGAATAGGGGAGGGAGCCACCCCGGTTTTTTCCACGCGCTGCAGCAGTCGGCTCACATGAAAGTGCTGAGCATAATTGTGAAACTGACGGCGAACGACAACTGACAAGCTCAACCTTCACATTCAATAACCCTCGTCTGGCAAGCTGTAGCTGCGTATGGCTCCCTCAGTTTGCGTCTCGTCGGCAAAAGAACACCAAGAAGGCCTTCGCACACTTCGCAAGGCTTCAGACCCCTTCAAATCCATTCACATTGGGATCGGAACTTCAACACTACAGAAACAGCACCGCGGAGGTGTTTAGCCCATACAACTCTCACTCACACCTTGATCTTCACCAACGACCGCTCACACCAACACATGCACCAGCAGGGCCGTAGACAAATGTTAGCATCTATCTTCGGTTTCGGCGAAGGAGCGGAGACTTGGTGGCTGCGTAACAAAGCTTTTGAGACGCTATGCAGGATGAAGTATCTTGTGTTGAAAGTTACAGTCACCGACGATCATCTAAAGTGACGAAATGCTGGACCTGAAAGAGAGGCACGGGAATGCTTCGGACACATCCGGGGATCGACCTGCATCGTTTCCATGGCGCACGGTTGCTGCGCAGCGGTGCCTCTCCATTCATTTGCTCTTCCAGCACCTCTTCCGGGGCACAGGCTGGGTAGCAAAACGGATGCCGGTTTCTGTCATAATATTATGAAATGGTAATACAACTAATATATTAATATATTTAATAACAACAACAAACGAGAGTTTCAAGATCGGCTCTTGCTCAAAATGACGGCTAGCAACATCAGCCCAAGCCCATTAACAGACTGAACGTGCAGGAACTCACCCTGGTCCAGGATCGCGAAAACAAGCCCACAGTGGAGCAAGGCAGGAACAAAAGTCGCTCCCATCTTCAACGATCAGCTGGCTGATTCAACAACATGCAGCAGTCACGGTCGTCGCGGTCGTCGCAGCGGCAGTAGTAGCAGAAGTAGTAGTAGTAGTAGTAGTAGTAGTAGTAGTAGTAGTAGTAGTGGTCGTAGTCGTGTAGCCGTAGTCATAGTCGTTGTTGCCGTTGTTGTTGTCGTAGTTGTCGTTGCTGCTGTTGTTGGTTTTG